TATCAACCGAAGAGGGGGGCGGGGGGCTGCATGCATTCGCAGCAAAATTAACAGTTTAATAATAGCCACATTGTTATAGACAATGGCCAGGAGGAAATTTGACACCATCTGAAACAAAAACAGCCACCGATTAGTTAAAAGCAGCCACCGATTTAAAGATTCTTTTCAGTTGAACTGATTCCGGGTTTTGTTGGATGTGAAAATAAAATGAAGCGAACTAAAAATATATTGTCGAATGATATATTTTGTTTTCCAATTTGTTGTCTTTGATTAAAAAACTAAATACCTCGTCATTTTCTTGAACTAATTTCCAAAAGTTTGTTAATATTCTATACCGAAAGGTGCTGTAGAGTAAATAATCAAAATATCAATTTTTATACAATCGACATTTTTACAATAAGCAAACTGATCTGACTTTGTACTTTGCCCTCTTGTGACATTGTTTTGTCTTACTTCCTACAACGTACAGTGTCATATAATAAAAAAGAGTTACTGACCTCGACCGTTTGCCCAGTAGGGGAAAATATGTAGGCTAACAACGGTCTTGAGATCTCGGTTTCATATTTTGACGTACTGCCCGCACTCTCAGTCAGTAAGTTATTAATATAAAACCCGACAACGTCTCGATGTAAATATCGAATTTTGCTTATTTGACATGTAAAACATATATAGATAGATAGATTAGATAATAATATACGGCTAGTCCAACATTGTATATGTAGATACTAGCCCTTAGCACGGATTAAATCTTTCAGGACGCACACTGTGACTGTAGGATATTGTAGGCTGTGCGATTTTTACATGTGGTTGACCAGCACGAGACCTAATCGCATTGTTTGAAGACAGTCAAGCGTTATTATTGCCAACCTGTTGCCTGCAGTACAGGCTAATTTTACTTCTGGGTTTGATTGAGATATTTATCTATAATCCATCTATAATTTCGCCAACAGCACGTGTTTCTTTCAAAGAACAGCTTATATAATTCCCTCCACAGTTTCAAAGCCGATCAGTCGTGTTTTCGCCCGATCGTTTAACAAATACTGTGCAAATAGAAATGGATTTAGTTTTCACGAAGAAAGTTTTGAATTTCTATCACAGGTCAATGAATGAGGGAGGTGAGTCCGAAATTATTTGTCAAATATATGCTCGAAAGATCAGAGAGATATACAGGGATACTTTCCGCCAAAGGTTGCATATGAATATGAAACAAATCACGCCATTTGAATGAGGAATTTGAATTTGTAGGCTTTAATACTGTGACTACTTTTTCTTTCAAAGATATCCATGTTTATTGAACATTGTCACGGCTATATTTATTTAAATTCAGCAGAGCGGACAAAGAACCTAACAAATTAAAAAGTTCAAATAATATGTCAATGCATACCGTGTAATTTAGGTTGGCAACACTAGATGTAATTTTATCAATAGTAATTATATAATACACAAAATGGAGTGTAAAACGGTCAGTAGTGTCCGTTCAAAGAATAATGAGAGCTTAAGGTGGCTTACAATTTAGATCCATATTTTTGAACAATTATGACCTGTTGAAAAACGAAACGTATCTTTCTGATATCGAATCTAAAAGGTTCGAAAGTTACACAACTGTCGTTGCTATGGCAACAATTACGTTTCAAGGTGGCGGATATTTTGTTTTTAAAATAATTTAACTCGAAAACGGCAACGATAATCCGGAATCCCACATTTTATTTTATAATATGATTCAATTAAGGGCGGATATAAATGTCTAGTTGGCGAGAAATAGAGAAAAGTTTCAGACAGTTTTTTAGATCATAGCCTACTATTTTTCATGATAAATTTTACTAGCTGTTTTAACTTGGATTGTTATTGTTATGACTATGATTAACCTCGAAAGGGCTTCGTATCCTCTTGTTATTCTGCAATGTAGGCCTATAACTATTATAATAATTTACATTTCTCAATTCTGATTGGCTAAGAGCAGTGCAAGTTTTTCGAAATAAAGAGTTTAAAAATGCAAATTTCATAGACTATAAGATACAGCCTCTTATAGTAGAAAATAATAAAAAAAATCCAAACATTTACACGTGACAAAAATGGCTGGTGTGTTTAGTAGATTTTGTATTAAAATTATTTATATTAAAATTCACCATTTCCCATGTGACTTACGCACGCATGTGACTGTACAGTTTCTTCACGTGTATCAGTAGTAATTACTATATGGCAAGCGTCACTTCCGGTGAAATGGCGGACTGTGATTGGCAGAGAAGCACTTTTGGCGGTCCATTATTTTCCTGTAATGGACTGGCGGTCCATTACGTAAAAATAATCGCAAGTATTTTGAAACAAAACAGCAAAACGAATTGAAAATTTGAAAAATAAATTGTGATTTAATTTTTTGAATTAATATAGATTTAATACTCATATATGCGAATGGTTTTGGGTGGAAAGAAGGAATCCATTGGTATTTTTTTTCATATTTCGACCAAATGTTTACCACGTTACTAAGATACATTTCAAATCATGCATTTCTTGTTTGTTTCGAGTATAAATGCCAAAAAAGCCATGTAATATAATAAACTTTTTTATTAACCTCGCTTGCTCGGTATGTACAGAGAAATATCTGGCATCAGTATTTTTGTACAAACCTCGCCCTACAGGCTTCGTCTGTACAAATAAGACCTTATAACACGAGCGGCCGTGTTGTGTTGGATATACAAACTCGAGGCGAAGTAAATGTGAAATATCTTGATGAAAGCATTCTTATTCCATAACAATTGTATAATTAAATGAATGATATTTGGTGAAGAAATTGGATTTAAAATTTACGTAAATCAGCATAATTCTGTATGAGATATCAAAACTCCTTCACGCTCATAATTTCTTTAGTGGGTTTTTTTTTCATGAATTAATTTGGTGCAGCTTTGAGTCTTGATCTCAAAATTCACTTTGCTATTTTGTGAAATAATTTTGTAGTTCCGCTTATTAATGGCCATATATTTAGAGGCCACGACTCGACGGCTATGACGACGTGAAAATGATGTTATGCAACTGGTGTTTTTTCCGGTTTTTATCTGGGACTTCATGTTTGCATTTTCCTAAGCAAATTTTTGTTTACTTGTCACCTACATGTATTCCTGTGTTGATAAAATATGTGGAAGAAAAATTGTTTTCGGTCGATTTTGTATGAACACCTAATTTTGGACAATGGAGTTGAATTCAGTATCTTGAATACCTAGGATTAAAATTGCCGCATCATCGGAAATAAATACGCTTCAAGAATTGTGTACGATCTGAATGCTTTAGTTTGTAGCAGATAAAATCACGTGCTAGCTATTCGATATAAATTTTCATAAATATATAAATGGTAAAATTTAATTCTGCTTACGATAGTTTTTCACTTTGAACAGATCTTCATGACTTGTCCTACTTTTTCGCAGATTGCAGTTCTGACGGATCCATTAAAGTCGATTTTTGTTGCATTGCTTGAAATGCTTTGATTCTTCTATAATATTCCTAAGTTTGCATGACTTTTAAAGACTTGTTACTATAACTTCAGTTTCCTTGTTCTACAATGTGTGTTTGCCGTTTGGTGAATAATACTATCGATACTGATTGAAGTGCATAGTTAACAATGCTTGCACTTTTTTTATTTGGGACGGCGACGAAGTATTTTTCGGAAATCAAAACGTCCAAAATTTAGGAAAATGTAAGCAAAGCAACCTTGTTTGTTTAGTGAAAATGCTTAGATGAGTGGAGACAAACATTCTGAATCATGTATTATTACAAATTTCAATTTACAATGGACGATGTGTGTACATTAGTCAGTTCTTCAAGACCGGTAACAGACCTAATGACTCTATATGCATTATGAATTAATTCAACCAGGCCGTCTCTAAATACAAAAGACGAGCGTAGGAGGCGCACACTTGTTATATGGCCGATTAGATGAATCTTGGCATTTGAACAGTTTACTCTAACATTTTGAACAATAAAATAAGATTTCGTAGTTTTTAGTATGTAAATTGAATTTTGTGATGGCAGTGATTCGATGAATTCTGACATTTGAACAATGAATTCCTAACACCTTGAACAATTAGAGTAGTTTTTCTGTGAACATTAATGATATGCATAATTATTATTATTCGATACATACAGACACTATCATGAATTGCTTGTACGTTGCTCCTAAATAGAAAATAAATTATAAAAAATCGGCATCTTCAGTCGATTCGAAATGACATTTAACTTAAAATCATTGTGTCAAATTTCGTGACGATTGGACTCAAAACGAAGGAGCCTTATAGCCAAATTTCGAAGAGCGTCGCCCCCTAAGAAAAAGAAAAAGAAGAGGCTTAGCAGGGCTTGGGTGACAAGTTCTCGGTCTGAAAATAATGAAAAATGAACTGGAATTATATGAAACAAAAGATACATAAAGAACAAAATAGGATATTGGACACATATATATATATATATATATATATATATATATATATATATATATATATATATATATATATATATATATATATATATATATATATATATATATATATATATATATATGTTTAAAGATTTGTAATCCAGGCATATTATAATTAATTAAAGTTCTCCGGATTGAAATATACTTTTATTGAGCTTACTAACAATAACGATATTAAAACATGGAACAGATACGTAGACGACGTCCTTGCTACAGTTAAGAAAGACAAGACTGACGACATTTTACATACTATAAACAATACTACAGAAAATATAAAATTCACGAAAGAAGAAGAAGATAACAACCAACTTGCTTTCCTTGACATTTTGTTGACAAGAACTGATGACGGCACGATTAACACACAGGTCTACCGTAAGAAAACGCACACTGACCAAATACTGAATTTTAACAGCAACCACCCTACTCAACACAAAATAAGCTGTATAAGAAGCTTATTCAACCGAATAGATACGCACTGTAAGACAGAACAAGCTAAACAAACAGAACGCAAATATCTATACTCGACTTTCATGAAAAACAACTACCCTAGGAACTTCATTAACAAAATACTAACAAAAATACGTAACAAACAACAGAGTAACATACCTGACGAACAACCTGAACAATCAAGGACAAGAATAACTCTACCTTACATAAACAGTACATCTGAAATGACCGCCAGATTATTGCGACCTTTCAACATTGACGTAGCACACAAACCGGCACATAAACTTAGGTCATATTTCACAAAACACAAAGACAAAACAGCATCAAAACAAACAAAAAATGCTATATACATGATACCTTGCAGAGACTGTCCACAACGATACATAGGTCAAACCTCGAAAAAAGTTGAAACACGAATAACTGAACACAAAAACGCCATAAAACGATACGATTATAAATCACTACCTGCAGCACACACATACGACAACTGCCATACCTTCAACTGGACAGAAACCGAACTATTAGGACGAGGACAAACAAAACACGCACGTAAATTTAAAGAGGCATGGTATAGTATAGACGGTAATACAATTAACCGACACGTTGAAATTCCCACTGTTTACTTACAACTTAAAACAACACGTAAATGCCCTACTAATAACAACGATACTATGACTAATACTAACTTCCAAATAACACTTCCTTCAACATCCGCCACACAACAATCCAAACATTCCAATGACGCCATCCCTAGCAGAAGAATTCACTCAACCATGACAACGCATTCTTCAACCAGCAATGAAATCAGATCAACCGCGGAACAGCCAATTAGACGGTCTCGACGTATACAAGAACTTAGCAACACCGCAATTAAACTTTAATTAAATAATGTACACATGTAATTTTAATCTCAGTATTCTGAAGAAGGCTCGAGGTACCGAGTCGAAAGCTCAATAAAAGTATATTTCAATCCGGAGAACTTTAATTAATTATATATACATATATATATATATATATATATATATATATATATATATATATATATATATATATATATATATATATATATATATATATATATATATATATATATATATATATATATATATATATATATATATATATAGTCATTCACCGTATATGAGCTGTTCTGCAATCTGACTGGTTGAATTACTCGCCGTATATCAGCTCATATACGGCGAGTAGCGAACATTATAAAACAATTATACCATTCGCTCTCGTTGTATATGGCTGATAGCCTACTCGGTGCTACGCACCTCGTCGCCTATCAGCTCATATACGACTCAAGCTCATGGTATAATTGTTATATATATATACATATATATATATATATATATATATATATATATATATATATATATATATATATATATATATATATATATTAT